GATTTCTATCCAATACACCAGATCGCATTCTTCCATTTGTTTTCTCAAATGTTTGAGTTTTGGCCCTTGGTATTCTTCATGGGACCGGGACGTCTGCATAGACTTGTCCCCCCCACCTTTTCTCCAAGGTTCTTCTTGCCTTACAGGTTGCGTTATCTGGAAAGAGCTCCTCTTTCAAAGATGCTTCATTGGTTTTTCCCCTTTTAAGTTTTGTTTTAAAGTTTTAAGTTTTGTTTTAAAGTGTATAACACCATTTTGGGAAAAGCCTACCTGGAGATTTTGGCCCATCGTCAGGTGACGACGTGTCTCCGATGGGGGACGAAGGGAGCCCTGTCGGTGCGTTCGGTCCTATGCGTCTTTCATAAGGACGAGGTAGTACTTAGAACAGACCCCACCTTCAGTGCCAAAGTTAATTCTGTCTTCCACAACTCCCAGGAGATATATCTCCCTTCTTCTTCTTCTTCTGCCCGGACCCAGTCCACGCCAAGGGGAAGATTGGACACACACTAGATGTGCGTAGGGCACTCAAGAGTTACATTCATCGGACCGTTTTCTTCCGCAAAACAGAGGCTCTCTTCGTCAACGTCTCTGTCCCTAACAAAGGACAAAATGTCCAAATCAGCCCTGAGCGCTGCAGTGAAGGCCTGTATTGCGGGGGCGTATAAAAGCTGCGGTCAGCAAGTACCCCCCGGTATCATGGCCCATTCTCTCCGTAGCGCAGCCACTAACGCGGCACTCTGCAACAGAGCATCGATTGCAGAAATCTGCAGGGCAGCAACCTGGCTGCCTCTGTCTACATTCATCAGACACTATGAAATTCATATATACGATTCGGCAAAGGCGGCCTTTGGCAGAAGGGTTCTGCAATTTGTGTTTTTTCACATGCGGACGACCTCCCATCCCAACATTAGGGACACTGCTCGGGAAGGTCCCACACAGGATGTCCTCCAACTCAGAGGGAGAACGACCATTGGTACTCACCGTGAGGGGTCATTCTCCTCTGAGGATTGGAGGACATCCCGGCCCCCCCAGGTCGCCGTCATGCGTAAGTATTGGAGACTAAGTTTCTACATTGCCTACGTTCTGACTGTACTACTATCTTATGTGTATAACCCTATTGTAGAAAGAGAGAAGTTAAGAATCTCCTGTACGTAGTTATGTTCTTTTAAAAGGATGTCGTTAATAGGTTATCAACCTTTACTGCTTTTCGGAGTACCCAAACTGAGGAAAGGGTGACTCCCACCACAGGAAACAGGAAGTTCTTTTGTAAGTCCTGCCTCCCTGAATGATGGATGGGAATCACCCACACAGGATGTCCTCCAATCCTCAGAGGAGAATGACCCCTCACGGTGAGTACCAATGGTCGGATTCTGGAGAGCAGGCAAACAAAGTCAGACTAATGGGAAACAAGGTAGCAAGAGGCTCTCCTTGCTTCTAAACCAGTATCTCTAAAGCCATTAACTTGTTTGTTTTTTCCACCACTGGTACCTTGCCCTGTCTTGTTTTTAATAGTCATATAATCTGCCTAATGAAGAGTTTTGTTCACTCTGGTAGATTACCTCATCATTTTGATAATCTAATAAAGTGTTCTTACAAGTTCCTTACAATAATACTTCTTTTGCAATTCTCAGATTATGCAACACATGCTTTCCTATCATTTTTACCAGACATTAGTCCCTGTTACCTTTGCAGAACAAGTATTTTTTTCCCCTTACTTAGATCCATGTGGTGGAATGCTGAAGTGCCTTCTGTGACCTTAATGCTGCGCAGAGGTCTTTCTCTGAAATCTCAAATCACTCAGGACAAGAAACAGCTGTGGAATCTGAATCAAAGCAGGTCACAAGTACTTCCTAACCAAGAATTCAGATGGAAACCCCTGAATATTGACCAACTGCTTTTGGGGGGAGAGAATGAACACCATCATGTCAAAGTCAAGGGAATACCAAAGGAGAGTGGTCGAAAACATTCCTCACTAGAGCGGAGAGTGGCTGGTCCCAAGTCAGGGGCTGTGCTATTCCCATGAAATCATTGACTCTGAGTAACTTACACTGTACTCTATTGTTGCAGGGATTGTAGACACTGCACGTATTTGATACAGAGGCTGCTGTATTTGTTTTGCAAAAGGAAATTTGAAGCCTTGGTAAAGAGGATGGTCAATGTTAATTTATCTCTATAGGTATATATGTGACATTAACTGATAAAAAAGTGTAAGATAGTTCTTTAGTTTCTGTTAGTGTGGAACTACAATATTACAGGGATAACACAGGGTTCCCAACTCCGTATTTCCCTTATAGGTCATATTTGGGGAGGGGGCTTTTGCAAGGGAGAACTGAGTCCTTAATATTGCCTGCTCAGATTCTCCCCTACTAACGCCTCTTCTGCACATATTTTTTTCATTGCTTTCCAGCTGGACTCTTAAAACTAGAAGCTCGTAGAAGGGGGATTTGTAGGGGAGAATTGTGTGTACATAAAGAGATTATATACCATTTTCCTCTACACCCCTTGTTCACCCCCACACTTATGTGTGGCAGGGGAATCTATGTTTAACTGGTCATTCCATCCTTATTTATTTCTTAAGTATCCTTAATCTAAACTTGTGAGATTTTTTAATGTTAAAATTTGAAACCCCAGTAACACTTGTGTGGTGAATTTTAGTTTCCGTAGGTAGTTGTGCAGTAGTGAGCACTGTCATAACACAGCACATCTTCTGGTACAATATTGGGGCTGGATCCAGGCAAAACTTACCACTAACAAAAATCTCTACCAATTTCCCCCTTCCCACTGCAGATCCCCCTCGTGTTGTTCTCCAGGGCCCCCCATCCCCGAGGAGTGGCATTTCGTGGCGATCAGTGCATGGGAGAAGGCAGGAAAACTCCACTGCACTGACAGAAAATATAGTCTGGATCTAACTCCAGAACTGTGCATGGAATAATTACAGTGTTCAGGCACAGGTGTTGTTGCATTTTCATGACCTTGGTGGTGGTGTGTCATATGCCCAGCTCTCAGGGAAGATCTTGGCTACCTGACGTCCTGTCTTTAACCAGTCTCTGCTAATACTGCTTTCTGTAACTTTCTTGGTGTCCTTTGTCCCAGAGATAAAACTACATGTTGTGTGAACAATAAAGAGCTTACTAAAAGGTGTTGATGTTGCAGCTCAATTTTTCAGAATGTCTGCAATGGTCATTAAAAATCTTAGTGTCATATAAAAAAGCTAAAACGAAACAGAAAAGGTTTATGTAGCCACCTGTTAAAAGCTATTTCATTAGGTATAATTGCATTACAATCTATAACCTATTAATGATTTTACCAGAGTACTTACAGAAACTAAGCCTAGGGCTCAGAATTTATTTGTAAACCTTGATGCCTGTTTGTAAGTGAGCAAATTGTTCAGGTATAAGAACTAAGTGACTTAGTGCACACATTTATTTTGGTCACCAAATTTTAGATTAGATGCCAGCAACAGAAATCTCATAGTGATATGCCTGCACTGTAAATGAGAAAATGACTGTTTAGCTATTAATAAATATCATTACAATGAAAAAGGAGGGGCAATGGAAATCTGAGGGCTACACCTAGCCAGGTTCCCACAAATAACCTGGACACACAGTAGGGCGGCCAGCTCCAGGCTGGGAAAGTCCTGGAGGTTTGGGTGGGGGGTGGAGCCTGGGGGGAGGACAGAGGGGACCTCAGTGGCGGGGGCACGAGGCCACAGAGTGTTCACCTCCAGAAGCATCCGTTTTCTCCAGGGCAACTGATGTCTAGTCCGGAGAGGAGCTGTAATTCCAGGGGATCCCTCAGGCCCCACCTGGCAGCTGACTTCCCTAAATACAACTTAAGCAATGCTGTGGCTGAGGAATTAAGTTTTAAGGCAATTAAGATTATTGGCACTGTAGTTGGAACTACCTCACAAAATATACAATTTGAATATACAGGAAGAATATATTATTACTGAATTCACAGGGTTTACTGACTGAAATTGCAAAGATAATTTAGAATCTATTCAGGGCATTTTGCTGTTGAGTTTCTTACATATTCATAATTGGGTTTTTTGTGCGATGTAGAGAAGTTCATATCATGTTATCCTCTCAGCATAATTAGTCAGTATACATTCTCTGTTAACATAAGTAATTCTAGGAGATGGTTCTTCCCCCTTCTTGGTACATACATATAGGCCTTTTTGGTTTTGGTACTGTATTTAGGACAACTAAAAAAACTAGTCCTTTCAAGATTTCTGACTGCAAACGCACTTAATCAAGAAATACAATTTTGCATTTTTTTAAAAAAAATCATGCTTAGTGTTGCAGGGAAAATGTTAAATCTATTCCAATAGTAGGAAATAAGCAGTTGTGACTATGCAATGATTTTCACATGCACCCATCCTTCAAGTATGCTTTGTATGTTTGTTGTTGCTTTCTGGTTACTGTTACTATAAATTTATAAGAAAGATTCATAGACTCATATAGTTGGAAGGGATCTCCAGGGTCATGTAGTCCACACCCCCCCCCCACACACACACCGAATGAAGGAAATTCACAACTACCTCCTCCACACCCGCAGTGACCACTGTTCCACGCCCAGAAGATGACAAAAAACCACTTGTATCACTCAACCTACTTCTGAGCCCCTTGCCCATCATGGGTCTGTATTTGTGAAAGATAAACATGAAATTTAAAATGCCATGGGATAGGTTTTGAAATCGATCTAACAGTCTTGCAAGAAGGACGTCCTGTTACTTTTCAACCTTCCTTAATTTCCCTGTCCTCTGTGGGGAGACCCATTCTTCCTGGAGCCCATCTTCAGACCCTCTCCCCCCCCCCCCCCCGCCCCGAGGGAAGCGGGCGCGGCAGTCCTGTCAGCGTCCCTCAATCCGGCCGCGCCTCCTGTCACCCTGGCGCGGCCTGGCGGGGCCCAGAGACCATCGGGCGTTCCGTCATCTGACTGTTATTCGGCTAGGCCGCCCGTCGTCGATTCAAAGACAGGCCCAGCCGAGAAAGGCCCGCAGGACACGGCCCCGGCCCCCGCCCTCCGAGGGAATCCCGCCCTCTCCGGGCAAGGGGGGCGGCGGAGGGGGCGGTGTTCCGTCTTCGCCGGAAGTCGCGGCCATTCTTTCCTCTCCATGGTTCAGCGTTCAGCCCGCTCTAGGACACCACGCCTAAGAGCGCCGGCGCATGGCCGGACGCCCGTCGAGCCGGAAGTGGCCGGGAGGGACTTCGCAACGTCATTCCCCGCCGCAGGTCACGTGGGGCGGCGGGCGCGCGGTCACCTGTCCCCTCCCCCCCTGGCGGAGCCCGCGCGGGGTTGCAGCAGCGGCGGCGGCATGTCGGACACGGCCTCTCAGGTGTTGGTGGGCTCCGGCCTGACGGTGCTCTCGCAGCCGCTCATGTACGTGAAGGTGCTGGTGCAGGTGAGGCCCAGAGGGAGAGGAGCCCGACCCTCCGGCGAGGAGGGCGTCGCCATGGTAACGCTGCCCCCCTGCCTCCGCTCGCCGCTCCGTGAGGGGGGGCGCCTCCGCCGCCTCTTCGCCCCTCCCGAGGGGTCCTGCCCCCCCCCCGGCACCGCCGCCTCCGTGAGGGGAAGGGGG